TGTCAAATCTCGGAGATGCTAAAGATTTGAAGAAATGTGTCCAGTTGTCAAATTCAGATCACAGAGCTTTCCTGATCTGTCTTCCAATACAACTCCAGTTCCAGTAATAAACCATTCAAATAATCAATGATATCAGGATCAATACTGACTACAAGACTGACTTTTTTCCTGTTCTATGTCATTCTAGAGGTGCAGTGAACACTGTCAACCATCTTCCTGAAGACGTTATTCGTTCCTTTGGTTTGTGCAGTCATAAACAATGTAAGAAATATTGGCCCCGGACACCCGAAAGGTTCTATCCTGAAACCTCTTCAGCTTATACATGCTTCTGCTTGGTGAAGATATCAGGAAATACTCATATGCAGACGACACACAGTTGTATAACACTTTGATTGGCTGAGCTGAGCTGAAAAAAAAAAAAAATGATGTCAAGAGGTAATGGCCCCGCCCACTGAACTTCAGCTCATCCAGTGACATTATTTCTTCCTCATTGTGCTGCAGTGGAAAAACATCTGTTGTGTGTCTGACTTTAATAACTCCAAAGACATGTTGCTTTACCTCTGTTTGTTGTCATCTCCCATAATAGGTGAGTTTAAGATCAGAGAGCAAAGTGTTGACCTGCTGCATGAACCACATGTACAGATGTTATTTCCCTACTTTTCTTCTTTGTTGATGTGAGAACATGAAAACAAGGTTTTGATAATCTTGTAAGTTTAACTGACAGAGAAACAGAGTTGATTTCATTGTGAATATCCACAGAGTAACAATGTACAGATGAAACTTTTCCACTGTCTTCTCCTCTCAGCCTCATGGACAATGTGAGTCTGATGGCTTCATTTTCTCTACTTTTTTCAGGACTAATAGCTGAAACCACAATCTCTCCTGAACAAGATGAAGTCAGTGGAACAGAAGGACAATCTGTCACACTCTCATGTAACTATGAGACAAATAATGCAGTTGCTTACCTTTACTGGTACAAACATAATAATAATAATTCATTTTATTTGTATAGCGCTTTTCAAGAACTCAAAGATGCTTCACAGGATAAAAGCAAAAAAGCAACAAAAGCAAAAAACAACAAGCAACAAATACAAAGGTAGACAATAGTGAAATACAGCAAGCAGATTAAAAAAAGATTGAAAAAAAACCCAGTAAATATCGAGATAGAGCCTAGGCCTAGGTGGGAAAAGCGGAGCGGAACAGATGAGTTTTAAATTTACATTTGAATATTACTGGGTCTGAAGTGTCTTGAATATGTTGTGGGAGAGAGTTCCAGAGAGTGGGGGTGGCGCAGAAAAGGCCCTATCCCCCCAGGTTCGGTGCTTGGACCTGGGAACGATCAAGAGGTTTGAATTTTCGGAGCGGAGGGTACGTGAAGGGGTGTAGGGGTGGAGCATGTCTTTGAGGTAAGAGGGGGCCTGACTATGGAGCACTTTGTGGGTGAGTAGAAGGATTTTGAAGTTGATACGGTCTGGGATGGGAAGCCAGTGAAGGTTTTGAAGAACAGGGGTGATGTGGTCTCGGGAGCGGGTGTGGGTGAGGAGGCGGGGGACAGAGTTTTGGATGTATTGGAGTCTATTGAGGAGGTTGGAGGTGGTACCGAAAAGGATGCTATTGCAGTAATCAATGCATGATGTAATGAAGGTGTGGATGAGGGTTTCTGCTGCGGGGAGGGAGAGAAAGGGCCAGAGGCGGGCGATGTTTTTTAGGTGATGGAAGGCTGTTTTAGTAACAGAATTTATGTGTTTGGTGAAGGTGAGTTTGGTGTCGAAAATGACCCCTAGGTTACAGCAGTGGGGCGAGGGTGACAGGGAGGAGTTATCGAATGAAAGATGGAAATCTTGAACTGTAGAGGTGAGGGAATCAGGACCAATAATGAGAATGTCAGATTTACTGGAGTGAAGTTTGAGAAAATTATTTTGCATCCAGAAATTAATACCAGTAAGGCAGTTTGAGAGGATGGCATGGGTTTGGGAGTTGACAGATTTAGTGGAAATGTATAGTTGGATGTCATTAGCGTAACATCATTCTGACCTTCAGGCTCCTCAGTTTTTACTCTGGAAATGAGGAAAAGGAAGCTCTGCTGAATATATTCCTGATAAGCGATATGGATCCCAGACATCAGAAACATCAACTACATTGACCATCAGAGAGCTAACCCTGGCAGACACAGCTCTATACTACTGTGCTGTAGACACAGTGGTACAAAGTGTAGCAGAGGCTGTACAAAAACCTGAACACACTGGGGGTTGTGTGCGGTCTGCTGCTGGGGGTGCTGTCTGCGGGTCCCTTCGGCCGGCTGGTTGGGGGGCTCCCCACCTCGTTGTGAGGATCCCCCTGTCTGCCAGGTCGGGGGTCCGGGCGCCGGCACCCCCAGTAGTCATGGTCTGCAACTCCTCCTGGTGTGGACGGCCCCAATGGTAGCGTTTCCCAAAATCCCTCAGTACCATGCCATGCCTCTTTTAATCTCGTGGTGAGTGTGTACGTCTGTGTGTGCGCAACTGCATTTGTTGTATGTGTATGTGTATGCATGGAGGGTGGGAGGGACGGGTTTATTTTATTTTTTTAAATGTTGTAATGTTTTTAAATGCTTTCTTTTTTTTTAAATGTTGTAAAGCACTTTGTGTTGTTGTTGTTGCACATGAAAAGTGCTATACAAATAAAATTTGATTGATTGATTGATATGTGACTAATCTTCAAAGAGGAGGGAAGTGGTATTCAAAGCTTGGCTTCATATCAGATGGATTGTGCTAATTCCTTTTTTATCACAGTCACTGTGGTTA